GACTTTGCTTGAGTTTCCGTCGGAGACGTCTCCGAATAGATACTGCGAGATCGGGCACTGTCGTCGCTGCGACTCGTTGCTTCATTTCAAAATTTCGCTGAAGTCATTACTTCCAAATAAAAGGAAAAACGCTTATATCGTATTAGTCGAGTGTACACCCTGCCCGTTCCCCCTTTCTCTTTCTCGTTTTATTTTTACTCTTCATTTGGCTCATACGATGCGCTCGGTGGTCCCACAGTGCAGCGGAAATACGTCAGTGAACATGATCTAGGGTATTATTATAAGTATAATACAATGACATGTAATAATAATAAGTCTGTGGTGCTCGTCAACTGTGACCCTACAGACGACGCGTCAGCTGATTTTGGCTGACATAATTTCCTAATCCTTGGGTGGTATGTCGTGCTTTTGTTTTGCTTTTATTTTTTATTTTTTTATTTTTGGAGGAGGGGATACTTTTTTAACTTACAGAGGGCAGTCAAGAGGCAGTTTGGTGAAAGCCTCACATCGGAGGAATGTATCGCTAGACTGCTGGCGGAAGAAGAAGAGGAGGGAGCCGTAAAGAAAGCAAAGGGGAAGAGCAAAGGAAAGGGGAAAGGCAAGGGGAAATGCACAGGAAAGAAGACTGCTGCAGCTGCTGTTCATCCTCCTCCAAGTGACGACAGTGACATTGACAATACGTTTGAAAATGAACACCCACCTCTACAACACAGACCAAACAGTGACATAGACAGTGACTACACCGACAGTGACAATGACCCTGACTATGTTCCTCGACCGACATCAAAAGTGAACAGAAATTTGTTTGAAATTAATTTGTCCCCATTTATTTAGGCCCTACTTTACTTTCACACTGATGTGGTAAAGGAAAGATTTGACACATTAAAGCCAATCAAACATGTGATGCAGTAGCCCAGGGGTCCGTAAAAAATCATGATTACTTTGCAGTGTAGAGTTCAGTTAAATCATTGAGCTATTCTGATGACAAAGCACTGATCACGCGATGTTACATAATATAATATACCTTTCCAAGTGGGGCTCTTATTTGTTTTGTTGTTGTTGTTGTTTTATTTTGTTTGTTTGTTTTGGGGCGTGTCTGTTTGTTTGTTTGTTTTCATTTTTTTTTCTTTGTTAATTTTGTTTCGTTTCTTCCGCATGGCAGAATGACTGCGAGCCAGACAAATTGATCTCGAGGGGGGAATATTGGTGAACCCTGGTCTTCTGTTAGTTACCTTACTGTACCAAGCATTTCAACTTTTGATTATGATAGTTATTGTCAATTTCACCAGCAGGATACATGATAATCTCCATCTATAACTCATTTAATACATTCTTTATACATAAAACACGTGATCTTCATTTTTCAATAAAAACTGAGCGAGGGCCTCGTTAAAAAAAGATCAGACACCCCCTCCTCCTCCTCCTCCTCCAGTTATATCATCAAATGCGCAACAAAAGTTGGGAAGCTTTATAGCCCCTTCCTAACCACATGCTTCTCTCAGTTCAGAGAGCAAAAGAGCACTGAACAGACCGTAAAACGATAATTACTTGTTTGCTTAATTACAGGTTATACAGAGTGAGAAAAAAAATCTGAGCACATTTGACACGAGATTTCTGCGTCTCAACGTTTTATAAATGCCACAGACCCAGAAGGTTTTTTATGTGTTATGTTATTTTGGTTTGTTTAAAGTTGTTTTATTTTGTTG